CCCCCCACCATTTGCACACCTTGCAAGGCATCCATGTTTGATTTCATTTTCTTCGCCAAAAATCCCCCTGAAGCGTTTTCGTTTGGCTTTCTCCTGTGTGGTGGCGACTATTGTTTTGTTTGTCTCTTCGCGGCGCAGCCCCTCCCATTTGCAAACCTTCCCAATCATTCACGACTGATGTTTTCTTCGCGGTCAACCCCCTGAAGCGTTTTTGTTTCCTTTCTCTGTGGCTTCAGAGAACGGCGGGACAGCCTCCCCCCATCTGCACGCCTTGCAAAGCATTCACGTGTGATTTCCTTGTCTTCGTTAAAAATAGTTAACAATCTCGCTGAAACGTTTTGGTTCGTGTGTGTCTTGGCGAAGATGTTTGGTTTGCTTCGTCGCGGCTTACAAGAGCGGGGAGTTTTGCCCACAAAAAGGCAGGGGGGTTGGGCGGGGCGCACACCCCCCCGTTTGCAAACCTTCCAAGGCAGTCACGATTGACAGTATTTTCTACGCGGTTTATTCTCCTGAAGCATTTTCAGCTGGTTTTGTCTTTATTCTGCGTTGACAATGACACTTTTATGCATTTCTGAGCCGCCTGAGAGCTTGACAGGGCCTATGGACAGGGCTTATGACAGGGGTCGACAGGGCCTACGACAGGGCCTATGACAGGGGCGGACAGGGCCTATGGGCTTGTGACAGGGGTGGACAGGGCCTACGGATAGGGTCTGTGCAAGGGGTGGACAGGATTCTTTGTAGGCCAGTGAGGGCCCTGCACAGACCCTGTGCGGACAGGGCCTGTGCAGGGGGCCCGTAGGCCCTGTCGTAGGCTTGTGGACACGGGCGCACAGACCCTATCACAGGCCTGTGGACAGGGGTGCATAGGGCCTGTCATAGAATCTGTGGTAGCCTATGTTTGGGGGGTTCTTCACCTTGAAAGGGTTCAAAGGTGTTCTCAGGGCCTCGAGTGGCTCCAGGCACAACAATCATGTGCTCGTATGGCACGTCGCGTCTACAGCATGTGTCTCTAGATGCGTAGTGATCGTTTCGGGAAGGTTCTCTCAGAGGAAACAATGGCAAGCTGGAAAAGGGACTTGAAAGCTTCAGGGTGCCGTGGCCGCTGTATCTCCCAGCGGATTCTTCGGGCAAACTTCGAGACAGCACGTTCCAGAAGCCCCTTTGGAGCTGCAGCTGATAAATCTTAGGCAGGTTGTTCGGTCCCCACGCTTTGGCTGCAAGCCAGCTGGCTCCGTCTGCCGTAAGATAAGCAAGCCCGGCACCTCAGGTGCCTGATCACGCGCAACTCCTGAAAGAGTGTTCTGCATGGTTTCTTGCCGCCCCGTGCCCCTGCTCCCCTGCCGCCCCTGTGTGCGAAAGAAGCGATTTATTGTGTTGTTTTTGTCCACGAATTGAAAACTATGCTGAATCATCTTCCTGGTTTCTCTACTTGCGCGACTTGTCTGGCTAGGGTATGCTGCCGCGCTCGAAAAGAAAACATTGTCTAAGCAATTATATACTTCCACAGCACAAACAAGCCCCGACAAGAGCTTCCAGCCAAGCTACCTTGAACCCTACCAGGATCTGCTTGCTTGCTGAACTGCCGAAAATGGAGATACTGTATGGGCAGCACGACAAGCGTACTCGACTCCTACCGTTGATGATATAAATCCTGCCTTACCTAAAGGACCCTGAACTATGGGAATTATGGTATATTCCTTATGATGGGTAATGCAGGATTAATATCATCAACCGTAGTGCCCGAAATTCGCTAGCCATGCTGCCTTGAGGGCACCGTGTCATGCACTTTTGCCTTCCACCACAGAACGAAGTGTGCGTCGCTGGGGCAAGTAGGATGCGAAAGGAAACTTCAAAGTGATGAAGTCCTGTGCGGCCCAGGAAGTTGGACGAGATCTTGCCCGGATTCCTGGCTCCCGGGCATAACTTCTTTTCGGATTCGTCCCAGCTGGGTCAGCGCAAACCATTTGCTTTGGCTCCGGATGTCCCACCGCAGTTTGCCTGCTTTCTGTTCATGGCTTCGTATACAGTTTGGTTTCCCTTCGACGAGCACTTGCACGAATCTCCAGACATCTCAAAGTCGAAGATTTCGCCTACGCTCATGCACGCGGATGAGAGCATCCCAGGCAATGCTGCAAAATCGCCCATTCCGGGTGGCCCAGCTCAACTGAGCTAGAATGTCATAGATTTTGAATGAAGTATCCAAAGCAGGATATGAAAGATTTTTCCTTTGCAAGAATCACGATAGATGTTCGGCGTATTTCGCGGCTTGAGGCCATGATCGCTCCTTGGATACTGGATCAGACAATCGTCGCCATGCTTTCTTCGCTGCTTCCCTTTTACGTGCAGCACCCGGGTCGCAAGAGAATTTGCAGGAGCCGATGTGCAGTCAGCTGTCATGCCCATCGGAGACTTTGTCGAGGAGTAATCGGTTGCCTGTTTGTACAGCCTCAGGTATGTCATCTCCCCGGAGGTGGTGTGCCAGGCCAGCTCTGGGTGAGAGGATGTAGCTGGAGCTGCTGGGAGCTGCCGGGAATGTCAATCCGAAGCTCAGTCCTACCGTAACAAGTCCACAGGTCGCCCGAGCAAGTCCTTGCTCACCCTCAGCAGAACTACCCTGTCATTGTCCCTAAGTCAGGTGGTATAATCGCGACAATCCTTAACTTAGGTTCGAAATGCCACTCTCGATCCGCTTGCCTGGAAGCGCCCCTTCTTGTGGCAGTCGTCTAACTCAGACGACCTCACGTGGGAGACTCGACATGTGAGAATCAAGCCATGCCACAGGTCAGTAGTCCTCCGATTCCGATCGCCAGCGCCAGATGCAGCTCTAGAATGCTGTGCCTCAAATGCAAATCGGGCAGGAGTGGGATTGAGGATTCATATGAAAATATGTTTCAGGAGGCCGCAAAGTGAAGACGTCTAGACCATGCTAGACCCACCGCGTAACTGGAATTTGATCGGGTTGGGACGGCGGCTGCGCTCACGTGGTGTATTTGATCTGGTTCAGCAGTTTTCGGTCTTTTGTTTTGTTCACATCGTTAGATACTTGGCTTCCTGCAAGCAGTCCTGTTGGGGTCGCACCCTTCAGCCCCTGGGGTATGCTCGGCTTCAGTTTATTTCACTTTTTTCCTGAAGTGCATCGGTTGGCCGATGGGAAGACAGGCTCGGAATTGGCCTCGTCTGCATGCTCCTGGCCGCCATCTTTTCCATGCCTCTCTGGCAGCGTGCGGCCATGGGCTTCGGAGACTACCAGCGGCCCTCTCTGCAAATGTCTGTGTGTGTACGTTCCTTGAATTATCCGGGCTTAACACCACTCAACTGCATTTAACAGCATGAAATCTTGTGTCAGCAGCAGTAGTCGCATCACGTGACGGTCGAAGTGGGCATCCCGCAGTGCATTCTACCGCCCAAAGAAGCCCCCAAGACTTGCTGATAAAATTGGCCTGACCCTTCTGTCTGTTTCCCGTATGGCAGACACCTTTTCCCAAGCATCAGCTGGAGCGAAGAAGCAATGCTCAATGTTACGGTAGAATCTGATCAGTACCACAACACCCCCGACAGAACACAGGACGACGAGCGCCTGAAGTCAGTTGACTACTGGAACCTGAACGGTGGAATGTGAGCGCTTCATGGTTTAGGGCTGGCTTGTGCCTTGAACGGCCCTGCCAGTGTAGGAAGACAGGTGGGTTCCAATGAGCTTCGGCGTAGATGCGTCGCCATGCAGCAGTAGAGTTGAATCAATTGAATAGTGAATTAGCAGATTAACACAGTTTTGCCCATGCCGAGCCCGCAACAGGACTTGTTTAGTTTCCTGTAGCTTACTTGCACTTCGTTGTAGATCCGAATTCCGAAGCTTGCATGGCTCCGACCCGCCCTGACGCACACACCAGCACTGTCACTGACTTGACTGGATTCTCTTGCGCGCTGAACCGCGAACGCCCGGGGAGCCACTCAAAGCTTGCGTCCTCGATCAGCCCAGACCTTTCCAAGGACCTGGTTGGCCTTCAACTTCTTGAATGCCATCACTACGATTCTGCTTCGAGCTTGCAGAGAATGAACAGAGAGCACAATGGCCTTGATTCTCAGAGGCCCAGGTATTACCCTAACTGACCGACCGGCTAAACGGTTTCTTATAACAGAATCCTAAAAGCCCCCGATAACTTGTCTTGGCGGCCTCGGGTTTGCGCCGTACTCCAATCGCTCGAAAGCCCAAGAGCTGGAGAACCCTTGCAGGAGCAGGACATTTTCGGGTATGTGCTCAGCTTCGGGCTTCAGGAGAATTTAATGTATTACCGGTGTTCGCTGTCAGCCACAAGTGCACCGCCCAATCTTTTCAGGAGGTTGGGATTGCAAGTCCAGTTGAGTGGCTATTGTGGCTGGGATTCAGTTTTGGTTTAGAGGCCCGCAGCCGAAGGCCTAATCGTAGAGCAAGTCAAGATGCGGCATGATGCGGCCTGTGCCGTTCAATCGACTGTAGGGCCTTGTAGGAGGCTTGGGTATGCGAGTCATGGAGACCAAAAAACCTCCAGACAGGTTCATCGTTGGCCAAACCTCAACGCTTGCCATCGTTTTAACCATCTGCTTCGCCATCCTCAATGGTGCGCCCATAGGCAGGGCCTGATGGAGACTTGACCCTCAACACACAAAGTCATGGTTCAGGATTCACAGGGTTTAGGATCCGTAGTTGACCCTAGGTTCAAGTTGCAATGCACAGGAGAAGGAGTTAGGGCCCCCCTTTGGGCTATGGCACCCCGCCAACCCCCAACTAAGCTACAATATAGGGGCAAATCTTATTCACGCTCTAGAACCCGAATACCCGTCTCTACGGCGGGGAGGGCGTTGTAACCATAGTTTGATAATATATGACTGCTTATGTATTATTATATTTACATTATGATATTGTTTTGTTGGGAACGGAATGTTATTTCGGATTGATGAGATCATCGTAGTTTGCTTCAATCTCTTGAATGCTTAACCAACTTGTTCCAGTATTTTGAGTTAATAGGTTTTTGTTCTACATGCTTAGTATCATTAGTACAGGCTCCTGAATTACACAGAGTTTCAATGTGTTCAATCATATTTGAGTATCGTTTTAATAGTTCCTGTTCTCCTCTTACTTTGCTTTCTAGCATTTGAATGTCTTTCATTTTGTTGTCAGAATCTTCCGCACCAGAAGCATTAGAATACACCTGCTTAGCTTGCGCAACTCGGCAATTTTAGAAGTATAGTTCATTTTTGTCTCTCTTCAGCCTGGAAGATTTGACGATGTATATGGCTTGCATTTTGTGTGTGTGTGTGTTCAAGTTTGTGTAATGCATTTCCCTGCCAGAATATGTAGGTGTCATTTCTTTGAACCATTTCCCTCAGAAAAATTATGCTCAGCAAAATTATACTCGTGAGATTTACTGGACCACGACTTCTTGACAGACTCGTCTAAGCATTAAGAACAAGTCAAGGTATATTTAACCACTATGATATCTTTACTTTCTAACAGTGATAACACTTCCTATGAATACTACTATGTGGTTCGCTATATGCCCCAAAATCAACTGACATCCTGTCTGCTCTTACTGGCATTATGACTATCATGCACACCCTTATGCATAATGACTAAATATGGACGCGTGCATATATACAACCTGAAGCTTAACGAAACTAATTATGTTAGAACATGGATGGGGCTTTATTGTTTCACTAAGGGCAGTGTATGGGCAACACTTCTGTCAAGAAGCTTTACATTTTTCGTATACTGTAAGCATCGTTAACTCTTACGTTTTCTATCTTTTGAACCTGATCTTTGGTCTCAATGTAAGTTTTCGTTAATATATATATATATATTAGAAAGCAAGATATCCCAACCGTAGAACGAATAGACATATCCGAATACACATGTGAAAAACAGTAAATGTGAAATGATGCCAAAGCTACCTGCAAGAATGGTATGTGTGACTTCTTCAATTGGTGGTAAACCAGTATGGATCCAGAGCGTAGTTGTAAACATCTACAGAGGGTCGTTTGAGAGAATATACATCTTGTCACCCAGTGTTCACGTTGACGACACTTGGGCGGCAGTAATGATGTAGACGCCAAAGAAGAACAGCTTTATATGAGGAATACGACCCGGTGGCACTAAAGAATACCATAGGCAGATTTTCAGAAGAAGAACAACCAAAACGATCTGTTTAGCATTCTGTT